TGGGAGTTCTAGTCCCGCCTTAGGCATGAAAGCCAGCTGGGTGACTTTGGGCCAATCACCAAGAGACTGGGAGTTCTAGTCCCGCCTTAGGGAAGGGATTTGAAGGTGGGAATACACTTTTACGGCAAGGAGGAAGGAAAACGCTGTAGGCCAGGCAGATCTCACCGCCCTGCCCCGAGTAGGTGGGTGGCTGGGTGGGTCTGGATAGCAAGGGCTGCCAGTCCTTCTGCCCTTCCCGTTGGTCAGAGCACCTACCCCTCCCCTTGCCCTCTTTTCTCCCCCCCCCCCCCCACCCCCCCCCACAGCGCCTGGGGAGAAGCCTTCTTCATCATGTTGCAGACGGTCTCCATCGGCTTCATGGTGCAGCATTTTGGGGGCCAGACCAGGCGGGGTAAGTCGGCGAGGAAACAGGGTGGAGGGCAGCTGGGGGGGGGGGGGGGGGGGGGGGGACGCCGGAAGTGCTTTGTGGGGGTGGTGGGGGAGATCTCTTTGGGGAGGAAAACCAATTTTTACAGTTTTTTTCTGCTCCAGAATTCTGTCTCCTCGGTGGTTGTTTTTTTTTTTTTAATCTTGAAGAGGTTTCGCTTCTCATCCCAAAGAGGCTTCATCCATTCTCAGGTCCAGTTCTGCAGAAGCAAAGAAGCTCCTTGGCAGAGGAGAAGCGAAAGCTCTTTGTGAAAAAGCACCTTAGGCACATGCCTCTCTGGTGCCCCACCGTCCTTGTGCCTGGTGTTGGGGAGGGGGGCGAGGCAGGGAATGAGGGTGGAGGACCGGAAGCGTCACGTTACAACCCCCCTTCTCTGTGCAGGCCTGGCCTTCCTCTTCACCTACTTCGCCCTCCTGGCTCTCCTGCTCTCTCCGCTCACCCCATCCGTGGTTGTGACTACCCTCCAGGTGTCCAACATGCCCACTGCCACCACCAGCAGGGTAAGTGGGAGACACACACACACACACACACACACACACACCGAGATCATGGGAGGAGGGAGGGCTTTCTTGAGAAGGCTAGCTTGCCTGGCGGAGCTCCCGTCCCGAGGACCGGCCCATAGATTTCCACTGCTTTCCTCTCCTCTGCAGTTTGTTCATCAGGCACTGGAACCCACTGTTCCTCCTCTTCCTCCTCAGCCCCTTCCAGACCTGGGGGTTGTTGACTCTCCATCAGAGGGCTGATGGCCGGCCCAGGCGCTTCCTCTGTGTGTGTGTGTGTGTGTCTCTCTCTCTCTCTCTGCCAGTTCCATTCCCATCCTGAGGACCAGCCTCTAGATTTCCACTACTCTCCTCTCCTTTGCCTTCTGTGCATCAGGCAATGGCGCCAGCTGTTCCTCCTCTTCCTCCTCAGCCCCCTTCAGACCTGAGAGGCTGCTGACACTCCATCAGAGGGCTGATGGCTGGCCCAGGCGCCTCCTCTGTGTGTGTGTGTGTGTCTCTCTCTCTCTCTCTCTGCCAGTTCCATTCCCTCTTCCCAACCTGAGGATCGGCCCATAGATTTCCACTGCTCTCCTCTCCTCTGCCTTCTGCACGTTAGGCAATGGAGCCAGCTTTTCCTCCTCTTCCTCCTCAGCCCCCTCCAGACCTGGGGGCTGTTGACTCTCCATCAGAGGGCTGATGGCCGGCCCAGGCGCTTCCTCTGTGTGTGTGTGTGTGTGTGTGTGTGTGTCTGTCTGTCTGTCTGTCTGTCTGTCTCTGCAGGTTCCATTCTCTCTTCCCCCGTGGAGCTCTCATCCAAAGGACCGGCTATTAGGAGTTGATGGTCACCTAACAGTTGGGTTGGAAAATATATAAGCCAGGCTGGACATTTTAATACTGTCTCTTTAAGGGAATGCTAAAATTGTAATTGGGTGTGGTTCCTCAAACGGCCCTAAGATGGAGCCAGAAACCTGGGTTGTTCTGTTGTCGCTGTGAGTTGCTTGTTGCTAGATGTTCGCTGTTTTTGGTTCCCGCATTTTTTCCTATTGACTCTTGTTGATCATCGTTCTTCTTGGATTGCTGTGAGTCTATTTACTGAACTGTTTATGATAATGGACTTTTGATATTTGGATTATCCCAGGACTGAAAAATGACTGCTATAACCGTGTATGACTTGGACTGTTTGTTGGACTTTGCTTAACCGTTTACTGGATGTAAAAACCTACATTTTACTATTCAGTGTATCTGTGTGCTGGTCGTGTGTTATTCAACAGTACTCTAGCTACATCTCCCTGTGTGCACTCATTCTCCTAACGGGGAATTACCTCAACACCGGCCCATAGATTTCCACTGCTCTCCTCTCCTCTGCTTTCTGCACGTCAGGCAATGGAGCCAGCTTTTCCTCCTCTTCCTCCTCAGCCATCTCCAGACCTGGGAGGCTGTTCACTCTCCATCGGAGGGCTGACAGACGGCCCAGGCTCTGCCCCTCTGTCTCTTTCTCTGCCAGCTCCATTCCCTCTTCCCCCGTGGAGCTTCCGTCCCGAGGACCGGCCCATAGATTTCCACTGCTTTCCTCTCCTCTGCAGTTTGCGCATCAGGCACTGGAACCAACTGTTCCTCCTCGTCCTCATCAGCCCCCTCCAGACCTGGGAGGCTGTTGACTGTCCATCAGAAGGCATATGGTCGGCCCAGGCGCCTCCTCTGTGTGTGTGTGTCCATTCCCTTTTCCCGTCCCGAGGATCGGCCCATAGATTTCCACTGCTCTCCTCTCCTCTGCCTTCTGCACGTCAGGCAATGGAGCCAGCTTTTCCTTCTCTTCCTCCTCAGCCCCTTCCAGACCTGGGAGGCTGTTGACTCTCCATCGGAGGGCTGACAAACAGCCTGGACTCTCCCCCCCTCGAGCCCCTCACATTGGCCAGCTGGCCCTGGCATCCTGCACTGCCCCCCCCTCACGAGGGTGATTCCTCTCTCCCACAGCTCCTGCAAGCAGCCACCAACTACCGCAACGGCCACACCGGCCAGCTGTCAGCCATCACAACCTTCCTGCTCTTCGCCGGGTCCCTGGCACGAATCTTCACGTCCATCGAGGTAAGGGCTGGGAGGGGGGGGGCGTTATTAAGTGAGCCACACAGTCGTTAAGTGAATCTGGTCCCGCCTTAGACATGCCCCAATCCTCGCTTGGTGACTGTCCAGCCGGCATCCTGGCAAGGAAGGGCCCCTTAGAGCAAGTCAGGTGAGCCAACCTCGGCCTTCTCTCTCCCCCAAGGGAAGTGTCAGGTGGGTGGACCTTCAACTCCCAGAATCCCCCCAGACATCTGTGGGGACCGGAAAAGGTGCTTGCCCAACAGAGCAAGTGGACTTTTTTTTTTTTTCCTTTCTTCCTTTTGGGGGGGAAAAAGCACCTTTGAGATAACCGTGTCCTGCATGATTGAGAAGCCCCATAGACCACCTGGCCAGGGCTGGGTTTCTCTACCGGGGCAACTTTCCGGGCACCTGGGCTTCACCTCCCAGGATCCCCTAGCCAGAGTTTCCTCATATAGGGCAACTTTTAAGACGGCTGGGCTTCAACTCCCAGAATTCCCCAGCCAGCTATGTCCGCATGTCTTCAAAGTAGCCATAGTTGAGAAAACACTGGGCCAGGGGATAGAACAGAATTAGAATTAGAACGAGAACGAGAATGAGAATAGTATAGAATATAGAAGAGAATATAGTATAGTATAGTATAGTATAGTATAGGATAGGATAGGATAGGATAGGATAGGATAGGATAGAATAGAATAGAATAGAATAGAATAGAATAGAATAGAATAGAATAGGAATAGAATAGGAATAGAATAGAATAGAATACAGAATAAAATAGAATTAGAATAATAGAATAGAATTATGGAATGAAGAATAGAATATTGGAATAGAGTACAATAGAATAGTAGAATAGAGAATAGAATGGAATATAGAATAGAACAGAGAATAGAATAGAATAAAATAGAATAGAATAGAATTATGGAATGAAGAATAGAATAAAATATTGGAATAGAATAATAGAATAGAATAGAAGAATAGAATAGGAATAGAATAGAATAGAGAATAGAGTAGATCAGAATATAGAATAGAATAGAATAATAGAACAGAATAGAATAGTAGAATAGAATAGAATAATAGAATAAAATATAGAATAGAATAGAAGAATAAAATAAAATATAGAATAGAAAGAATAGAGAATAGAGTAGAATAGAATAGAATATAGAGTAGAATAGAAGAACAGAACAATAGAATAATAGAACAGAATAGAATAATAAAATAGAGAATAGAATAGAATAGAATAATAGAATAGAATAGAATAGAATAGAATAGAATAGAATAATAAAATAGGATATAGAATAGAATAGAGAATAGAATAGAGAACAGGATAGAATAGAATAATAGAATAGAATATAGAATCGAATAGGAGAATAGAACAGAATAGAATAGAAGAATATAATAGAATATAGAATAGAACAGAGAAGGAGAGAGAAGGAAAGAGAAAAGAATAGAATAGAAAATATGGAATGAAGAATAGGATGAGATGGGATGGGATGGAATTGAAATAGAATAGAATTCTTTATTGGCCAAGTGTGGACTTTGTCTTGGTGCAAATGTTCTCAGTGCACATAAAACAAAAGAGACATTCGTCAAGAGTCGAGAATCATAAGGTACGACACTTAATCATAGTCCTAGGGTACAATAAGCCATCAAATCATACCAGGAAACAGTCCATATAAATCATAAGGACACAAGCGACAAAGTTACAGTCATGCAGTCACAAGTGGGAGGGGATGGGTGATAAGGAGTGATGAGAAGGTTAATAGTAATAGTAGTGCAGACTTTGTAATTAGTTGGGCAGTGTTGAGGGAATTACTTGTTTAGCAGAGTGATGGCGTTTGGGGGGAAAACTCCCCTTGTGTCTAGTTGTTCTGGTGTGCAGAGCTCTATAGTGTTGTTTTGAGGATGGGAGTCGAAACAGTTTGTGTCCGGGATGTGAGGGAGTCTGTAGATATTTTCCCAGCCTCCTTTTTGACTCGGTGTGCAGGATGCAGGTCCTCCGTGGAAGGCAGGCGGGTAGCCGTTGTTCTTTCCTGCAGTCCTACTTTACTCTCCCTTTGGCTTCTTCCCAGGAGACCGGAGACCTGCTGATGGTGCTGACCTACGTGGTCTCCCTGGCTTGCCACAGCCTCATCCTGGCACAGGTGCTCTACTACTGGAAGGCCACGGACCGTCTCAAGAAAGAGTAACCAGGTTGCTGCTGCTACTGACGCTACTGCTGCCCCCCCTTGCCAGGGGGCTCGAGGCCCGGAGAACACCCCCAAGGCCGGCGGCTTTTCCCCCCCCGCCGCCCCCCCCCCCCTCTCTCTCTGTCCTCCCTGCACTCTTTGAGACCAGGGGAAGTGGCTGAGCCACCCAGGGGCCAGTGAGGCTGCCACCAGACTGCTGCGTTCTTTTTATTTGGGGTGTAAGGTGGGGTCTGTGTGGATGGGGAGGTGGGGAAGGGTCTTTCCTTGCTTAACCTACTCCCCCCACCCCTTTTTTTGGGGGGGTGGAAACAAAGAGAGAAGCTGCAGAACAGGACAAGGTTGCGTTGCGTGGTTTTTTTTTCTCCCTCTCTCCTCCACTTTGCAAAAAAAACAAAAAAAAATACAACGCTGCCCTCCCACCCAGCCCCTCCCACCACACACACAACACCCCCTCCTCCCAATGCCCTGGGGGGGTCTGTTGCAGCCTAATTGGGGAGGGGGTGATTAGGGCCAAGAAGCGGCCCCCTCCCCATTTCCAGGGGAGTCAGGAGGAGGAAAAGTTTGGCTTCATGGGGGGGGGGAGTGTGTGTGTGCATGTGTGTTTGTGTGCGTGTCATGACTTCTCTCCCCCCCCACCAGCAAATGGGGGTGCAGGGGGAGGAAAAGTTGAGACTAAGAGCAGCCCCCTCCCCTTTTCTCCTAACCTTTTTCCTAGCGGTCAATCGCTTACAAGATAATAGGTCTAAGTATAAACACAGTTATGAATACATGAAATGGGTACATATAAGAAAAATAAATAAAAGGAACAATAGGACAGGGATGGTAGGCACGTTGGTGCGCTTATGCACACCCCCTACAGACCTCTTAGGAAAGGGGTGAGGTCCATAGTAGACAGTCTAAGGTTAAAGTTTTTGGGGTTTGGGGAAGAAACTACAGAGTCGGGTAGAGTATTCCAGACATTGACCACTCTATTGCTGAAGTCGTATTTCCTGCAATCAAGTTTGGTGCGATTAACCTTGAGTTTGTATCTATTGTGTGCTCTTGTGTTGTTATGGTTGAAGCTGAAGTATTCATTCACGGGTAGGACATTGCAATGTATGATTTTATATACCATGCTTAAATCAGACCGAAGACGGCGTAATTCAAGGTTTTCTAGGTCTAGAATTTCGAGTCTGGTGGTGGCATAAGGTCTTCTGCAACAAGTAGAGGAGTGGAGAACTCTGTTCTTGTGAAATATTTCTGGACTTTCTCAATTGTGCTAATATCAGATACGTAATGTGGGTTCCAGACTGATGAGCTGTATTCGAGTATTGGTCTAGCAAATGTTTTGTATGCTCTAGTTAGTAGTGTGATATTACCAGAGAAAAAGCTACATAAGATTAGGTTAACAACTCTTAATGCCTTTTTGGCTCTGTAGTTACAGTGGGCTCCAGCACTTAGATCATTAGAGGTGAGTATTCCAAGGTCCTTGACAGAGTTTGGATCATCAACAAGGTCTTGACTATTCAGCCTGTATTTTATTTTCTGATTGTTTTTTTTTTTCAATGCCCACACCATCATCCCACCCTCACAGGCCACTGTCTGGAATTCCTGCCCCCACCCACCCCATTTCTTTTAGGTCCCCATTTGGGTGGGGTGGGGGGTGGCAGGAGAGGGGCAGCATTGCACCCCTCTTCAAACTAGGGTGCACGGTTTTCCTTTCCTCCATCCTGCTTGGGCTTTTTTTTTTAAAAAAAAATTTTTGGCGTGGGTTGGAATCATCCCGAAATGGCGGCTGGCAGCCGGGAATCGCGCCCTGCCTCTCCGGGCTAGAGGTAGGCCAAGGGGGGCAGCCGGGGGCTGGCATCGGAGGCCCCCTCAGCCTTGCAAGTCCATCCATAGCCAGCGTGCCTGGGAAGCTCCCCACCGAGAGGCGGCGTCCAGCTTCCTTGGCATCGTGGCAACGGCCGGCGGGTTCGGGCGTGCCCGTGAGAGCAGGCTGACGGCAAAGAGAAAAAGGAGGGAAGGGAGTATTTTGGAGAGATTGCAGAGGAAGAGAGTAAAAGTTACCCGCTTGGGTGGGGGGTTGGACTAGATGACCTCCAAGGTCCCTTCCAACTCTGATTATCTCTGTTAAAGGTGTCACAGCCTGAATTTGGCAAGGCAAGAGCAGGACTGGACTGCCGTCAAGTCAGAAATGGGGTAGGGTCTCCCTCGGTTTGGGGGGGGCCGGGTTGGACTGGATGACCTTCAGGGTCACTTCCGACTCTGTTACTATTCTGTTAGTCAGAACTTGTGGGAGCTTCGTCCCTGGAAGCTTTTCAAGAAGAGATTGGACTGTCATCTGTCAGAAATGGTGTAGGGAGGATGGGGGTTGGACTAGATGACCTCCAAGGTCCCAACTCAAGATTATCTATCTGAGTGGGGCCCTGGCTGCCCTGGGGAAGGGAGGGAGGGGGGCTCGGGCAGTGCTAGGAGGGAGGGCCTTCTGAGTGTCCCCTGCCCAGCCCTACACCGGGGGGGGGGGAGAGGAGGGAATCATGGGGTGGGGCGGAGCCACAGTCCTCCCGTAGCCCTTGGCTTCAGCCCCTGAGCTGCTGCCAAGGGGGTCCCCTTGAGGCTCTGCAGTCCACCCCCACAATCCTTCCTGCCCAGGGAGGCCCCAAAAGGGGGCAGACTTTGCACCCAGCCCGGTGCTTCTCCTGGCACAGCCAAATTGCTCCTGGCCCAGGTTTCACCCAGAATTGCGGGGGGGGAGGGCTACTGGATTTTGGGTGGGGGGCTGTACCCAGGGAGAACTGGCACCTCACGGGCGCCAGAGAAGCGGAGAGGGAGGGGCAGGCCGGGGGAGGACCGTCCCCTTGACCTCTAGGGTGGCCCGTGGGCGGGCTCCTTGGGCGCACCTGGGCCAGGTGAGGTGCCCCGACGTCCCCCCCTCCTTCCAGGTGCAAGTGGCGGGGGGGGGCAGGCTCCCCCCCCAAGGTGTCCTAGGTACCTCACCTCACCTGCAGGGCGCAGCGGCCCCGGTCATGTAGCCGGTCCCCGGAGCCAGCCCGGAGCTCCCGCGGAAGACGTCGGGCGAGCCGCTTCGGGAGGAGGGGGATGGGGCTCGGCCTGGGACCCCCTCGGGGCCTCCTCTGAGCTGTAAAACCCCGCGCACAGCCTTCCGCCCGTCCCGGAAAGGGCGCGACTAGACAGCCTCGAGAAGTCCTGTCGCCGGAGCAGCAGCAAGCAAGGGAAGCACGCGCGGCCGCCGACCGGGCCTTGGGATATAAGGCGGCAGGCCCCGCCCCCTTGCCTGCCCCAGATTTAAAAGTTGGAAGGTACCTTGGAGGTCATCTAGTCCAACCCCTTTCGCCCAAGAAGACCTTACACCATTCCTGACAGAGAGCAATCCAGTCTCTTCTTTGGAAATCCTGCTTCTGCCTTGCCAAATTCTCGAACGCGCCCCCCCCCCCGAAACCCTGCCTTACCCCGCCCAAGCCGACCCCTCCAGGCTGCTCCGTCTTGGCGTGGGGGGGAAAGCGCTGGGTTTCTGAGTGTAAGCAGAGTGCTGAGCGCGTGAGAAGGGCCGGCCGGGGCTCTGCTTGAGACTCCTTAAGACAGTCGCTTGTCTGAAATCAGACCCTTTTTAAGTTCTCCTGCTTGAGCAAGGGGCTGGACTAGACGACCTCCAAGGTTCAAGCAAGCGCCTCCCCCACCCCCCGCCCCACCTCCACATCCCACCTCTCTGCCCTGGGATCGTGCAAGGATGATGGGCGGTGTAGTAAAAAGCCAGCCGGGAAAAGGAGCCTTGAGAACTGCAGCACCTGAGGTGGACTGGGGCACAGGGAGTTGGGATGTCCCCTCTCCCCCGTTTGAAAGGCCCCCAAAATCAGCCTCTGGTCTGGCCGGAGTAGGGTGTAGGGTCTCCCGCTTGGGCAGGGGTGGGTTGGACTAGATGACCTCCAAAGTCCCTTCCAACTCTGATTATCTGTTATTCTGTTATTTTATTACTCTATTATTCTATTCCCTTGAGACTTTCAAGAAGAGACTGAACCTGCCCTCTGTCAGAAATGGTGTAGGGTCTCTCGCTGGGGGGGGGGGGGTTGGACTAGATGACCTCCAAGGTCCCTTCCAACTCTGATTATGTGTTATCTGATATTATATTATTCCGTTATTTTATTACTTTATTATTCTACTCACTTGAGACTTTCAAGAAGAAACTGGACTACCATTTGTCAGAATTGGTGTAGGATCTCCCGCTTGGGTGGGCAGGGGGTTGGGCTAGATGACCTCCAAGGTCCCTTTCGACTCTCATATTCTATATTCAATGGAAAAGAAGTTGCCTTCGGAAGTAGTGGGAGTGTCATCACTGGAGACTTTCAAGAACAGATTGGATTGCCATTTGTCAGAAATGGTGTAGGGTCTCTCACTTGGGCGGGGGTGTGTGTGTGGACTAGATGACCTCAAAGGTCCCTTCCGACTCTGATTATGTTATTGTAACTTTATTACTCTATTATTCTATTCCCTTGAGACTTTCAAGAAGACACTGGGCTGCCCCTCTGCCAAAAATAGTGCAGGGTCTCCCACTTGGGTGGGCAGGGGGGCGGGCTAGATGACCTCCAAGGCTCCCTTCCGACTCTGACTATCTGATATTCTGTTATTTTATTACTCTATTATTCTATTCCCTTGAGACTTTCAAGGAGAGACTGGACTGCCATTTGTCAGAAATGGTGTAGGGTCTCCCGCTTGGGTGTGTGTGTGTGTGTGTGTGTGTGTGTGTGTGTGTGTGTGTGTTGGAACTGGATGACCTCTTAAGGTTCCCTTCCCACTCTTTGATTATGTGTTATCTGGGTCATCAGCCCCACAAGCAGCAGAGGAGTGGTGGAGCCCCTCCCCACGCTGTCCCCGGGCACCCCCACCCCAAATTAGATCCGCGGGGGGGGGTTCTGCTCTTTTCCTTGGCTTTAAGTGGGCAGCTTTGGGGTGGGGGGCTTGGTTCACCCCTGGCCCGCCTGCTGAAGGAAGGTTACCAACGTTGCCCGCTTTGGCACAATCTGGGGGTGCAGCATGGCCACCCCGTTTTCCCGTTGGGGGGAGGGGGGAGAAGGAAAGAAGGTATACGGGGAGGGGATCAGCTTTTCCTTCTGGCCAGCAAGGCGGCGGGGGGGGGGGGGGGGGGGGGGGGGGGGTGGGCGGGGGGGCGGGGGCGGGAGCCCGGGGCGGCGGGGGGAGGGGAAAAGGGGGGGGGGGGGGGATACTGGGAGCCCCTGCAGCAGAGGAAAGGCTGTGTTTTCTCTCCCCCCGCCTCTTTAAAATGCAAAGAAGGGCCTTACTAGCTTTCAGCCTCAGTCTTGGTGAGGTTTGTGCTACCTGGACCTGTTGGATTGCTGCCTGATCAACACTCGGCTCTCCTTGTATCCCTGCACACACCCCCTCCAAAAAAAAAAAGGCTTGTGCAATATGCACCTTCCACTACACACACACACACACACACAAAAGGAAGCAGCCCCATTTGCAATGAAGTCCAAACTGGGCCCGCAAATCGATACCTAATAAAAAAAAATGATTAAAAAAAAACCTCAAAAACGTTTTTTTTCCGGCCAGAAGCTCTGTAAACCCAGTTTAAAAACACAACCACAAACCAGGATGATGGTGGTTTCCAGGATGGCCCTTTGGCTTGGGGGCCCAAAACTCAAAAACAACTGGAGAAGTTGGCTTCAAAGGCTCCGTGTGGCCGGGAAAGGAGGACTTTGGGAAGAGCAGGTTTCGAATGTGATCCGAGCTGGACAGCGGGCGAGCATGCGCAGAGTGCCTTTTGCAGGGCTAGGAATTCAAAACTGGCTGGGGGGGGGGGGGGGTTCCCCCCCCGGGCAGAAAGTTCTAATCTCACGAAGAAACCGCAATGGAAGGTCCCAGGCTGTTTTTTTGCAAAGCTTTCTTCCCAGATGAGGGGCGGGGCCCCTTGAGGCCACGCAGTCCATCCCCAGCTCCAGCAGCTCCTCCAACAGAGTTGCCCAGGGTTGTTTTCACTGTCTCAACTGCTCCTAAGTCTCTTCCTGGTAGTTAAATCCAAGGGATGCTTTTCGCTTGTAAACTTGGGAGCAGGGGGAGGGGGGTTTGGACTGGATGACCTCAAAAGGTCCCGTCTAGCGCTGGTTCCGTGTGACCTTCTGAGGGATTTTTCAGGATGATCCTTTTGTCCCTTTAGGTACATCCACCCACCTTCAAAAAGTTAACCAATCCTGATTTTTTTTTTTTATCTCAAGGTTGTAAATAAGAAAACCCCTCGTTTCTCCCCACGGAATTCATCCTTTCTCCGGCCAGTTCTCTACTCAGTCGGCAGCCTGGTTTTAACTGGGGAGGCTCAGTGTGTAGGGCTGCTCGAAGGAAAGAGCAGCTGCAAGCAGCACGGGCGACTTGGGAGTAAGGCCGCAAGGTAATGGCTTTTCCCGTAAAGGGATAAAAGCCAGCCTGAGAGACCGGGGTTCTTTGCAGGAAGCAAGGAAGTTCTTGCTCTTCAAGCCTCGTGGGAAGCTTGGAAAAATCTTGCTTGGTGTTTGGAGACTCTTTTGTGTTGGGAGATGTTTCTTGGCAACTTTATCTCAGGTTCTTGGCAGCCTTGCACCACCTTGGCAACTCAAGACCCCCCCGCCCCCCTTTTGGAACCAGACAATACCCCCCCAATATAGGAGGGGAGGAGAAGGAAGGGTTAAAAAAAAACAATTTTTCTCTCTCTTTTTTTGTGTTTCAAGAGTTGGGTTTTTGTTGTTTTTTTTTTTTTAATTTCTCTTTTTAAATACTGTACAGTGAAAAATAAATAGTCTCAACCGTCACAGATCAAATCCCACCCACCCCCATTTGTTTCCCTCCACCCACCCCACCCACAAACACACAAAACTCCAGGCCAGGCGGGCCTACTCTTCTCTTGCACAGTGTTTTTCTTTTCTTTTTTCTTTTGAGAAAAGGGAAAGGAAACAGGGAGGGGGCTAAAAGGAGCCCCTTCCCCCCCCCCAAAGAAGAGGGGCCAGGCTGCAAGCTGTTCTCCCCCCTCCCATTTTTATTTTACTCCTTCCCCCTCCCTAGCAGGGCAGGTCTGCCTCTCTCTCTCTCCTCAGCTTGGAAGGGGGGGTGTTGGTTGGGGAGTAAGGCCGACCCTCTGGGTTCCCCCTCCCCAGGACCGCTACTCCTCCCGGTCCTCGGACTGAGCTACTCCAAGAACGAAACAAGAAAGAAAGAAAAAAGAAGCACGCAGCTTGTGTGTGTGTGTGTGTGTGTGTGTTTGTGTTATCAGAAGGCACAGTTGCTCCTCCCCCTCTTCCTTCCCCAAATTTTGAATAGCCACATTATAT